TTAGGGCACATTGCCGTGGGTCTTTGCAAAGAGCCCCTTGCCAGACCTCAGGTGTGTGACTCTGGCGTCAGGGTGTCCACTTGGGGTCCACGTGGCATCCACTTGGGGCCTGTATCCTGGTCATGACCTCAGTCCTGGGGGACAGTGAGCCAGAGGCTCAGCCCTGACAAGCGTCCAGCCTGGCCTAGAGAGGGGCTTGATTCCAGGTTCAGAGGATCACTAGAGGGTGTGAAGCACTTCGGCAGGAACCATGGGATCGTCTCTCAGCCCCCTGTGCTGGCCTGGGCTGGGCACAGAATGGAGTGGTCCAGTGCTGGCCCAGCTGGGGTGGAGGGCTCCAGGAGAGGTGGGCCCTGAGGGAGTTGGGATCAGAGGAAGGAGTCATTGGTATAATTCCCCACCTACCTGTGGGCTGGTCCCGGCCCAGTTCTCCCACCTCTGGGGCCCCACTTCTGCCCCCTGTGATCTTGGTCTGAGCTGAGAGCTGCCCAGGCCCTGGGCTCTTGTAATAGGGAAGAACCTTTTGTATTCTATTCCAAGTTACTCACTAAAGGGATGTTTCCTCTAAGCTTAAATTATACATAATGGCCCATCTCTGGGAACCCTACCTCCCAGGTAATGAGCGTTAAGCTAAAATACCTCTGTTTAGCTCACAGGAAACATCCTGACCAGGCCCACCTGTGAATGACTACAGGGAGGAAGAAATTAACACCTCCCCTCCAGAGGCTGATGGGAAACAGGAAGTGTTTGACTTTACTCCCTCCCCTTTTAGTATAAAAGAAGCCTGAATTCTAACTCAGGCAAGGTGGTTCTTTGGGGGCAGGAGCCCACCATCTTCTCGGTTAGCTGGCTTTCCAAATAACATCACTATTCCTTGCCCAAACAACTCGTTTCTCTACGTTTTGGCCTCTCGTGTGGTGAGCAGTATGAACGTGGACTCAGTAACATTGTCTTCCCTTGCATGTCAAGGCAGGAGCCTCCATGAACTCCCTGGGCAATGGGACTAATCCCTGCTCCTGCCTCAGAAGAGGTGATGCCTCCAGTGGGCACACCTTGGTTCTGCTGAGCCCTCTGTGCTGATCTGAACAATATAACAAGACATGATGCTTGCAGAGCTCTCACTGGTGCCAGGCTTCGTACCAACACCTTACATACTTTAACTTATTCAACCATCTCCCAACCCAATTAAGTAGGTGCAATTATTATCCCCATTTTACAGATGGGGAAACTGAGGCCCAGGGGGATTTAGGTCACTCGTTCAAGGTCACATAGGCCATAGCTGTTGGGCTCTGGGTTCCTCCCAGTGAACCTTCACCTATGGTGACTGCTGTGGTTGTTTTCTTCAGGAGAATCCCTTCAAGGAAAGGATTGTGGAGTCTTTTTCTGAGGATGGCGACGGGAACCTCACCTTCAACGACTTTGTCGACATGTTTTCTGTGCTCTGTGAGTCGGCTCCCCGCGACCTCAAGGCAAACTACGCCTTCAAGATCTACGGTAACGAGGGCCTGGAGGAGGGGCTGTGATGCTGCGTGAGGGTGGTGGCATTCCATAGGCCATCTAGTTACTGCTGGTTCCCGCCGTGGGGACGCTGGGGACACCAAGAACACTCTGAAGAGTGCATGTCCAGCACAGTGGCCAGTGGGTACAACTAGTGCATAAGGGACATCTGCAGGGTCCTGAGAGCAGAGGAGGGAGGGACCCACTCCACCTGGGGCGGGCGGTTAGCATGAGGAGAATTCACACGTGGATTTCAGCATGGCCTCGGAGGACAAGAGGAGATTTGCCAACAGGAGAATGGGGGTGGGCATACCTGGTAGAGGGAGCACCACAAAGCACAGGGCGTGGTGAGAAGGTGGGGAGACGAATGTGGTGAGATGAGGGCGGTGTGATTCTGGAGAGGTCACTGGGGCTGGGCTGTGAGGAGCCAGCCAAGGAGTTTGGGGGCCACTGCAGGGTTTTAGGTGAGGCCAGGAAGCCCTGTGTTCTAGAAAGATCACTCGGCATCCTGGAAGAGCTAGAGTGGCAGACGCCAGGGTTCTGGAGAGGAGGCCTCTGCTAGGTGGTGAGGCTGGGCTGAGAGGTAGGCTCCTAGGTACCCCCTCCCACCTCTGTAATTGCTGCCAGGGGTAGGGTTGCCTCATTTCACCCCAGCCCAGCCCAGGACCCACTGTCCCACTGGCCACCAGAGGGCGCCGAGTACCTGCGAAGCTTTTGGTTTCTCCTGTGGCGATAGGAGAGAACTTCACGCTGCAGAGCTCGTAAGCTCTGAGCCTGACAGCAGCTGGGACTGGTGTCAAACCCTCAGACAGTGCTCGGATGGAAACTTTGAGGCCCAGGGAAGGTCCGTCCTGGACCAGAGGAGCCACAGACAAACCTCCTGTGCCCAGCATCTTTCATCAGCCAGGGGATCCCAAGGCAATGGGGCCCATTGGGCTGTTTTTTCATTTTGTAGTTGTCACGTTTATTTCAGGGGACTTTGGTCTACATATATCTCTGCACCCACATTGTGTTTGCACGTCAGAGGCATGGTACCCGCCTTGTCTACCCTTAACAAATTACGCCCGCAAGGTTCAAGTAAAAAACTTCTCGAATTCCAACCATCATCCCCCTAATGTTGGACCCCATGGCGTTGCTTCTGGGGAGGCTGTAGTCTGCCAGAGAGGGGAAGTGCAGGGCACACGGCCAAGCAGGTGTGGGGACAAGTGAAGGGAGAACCAGGGCTCCCCTACCACCCTGGACTGGCAGGTGGAATGGAGAAAGGCAACTGGGACCTGGAGTTTGGTGCTGGGGGGGAACTGGGGCCTGACCTCTAGCAAGGATCACCCACTTCCTTGACCTTAGTTTCCCTGAAGAATGAATGGAGTCTGCTGGACAGATAAATGGGAAGGGCGCTTCAGGCAGAAGAAATAGCACTTGCGAAGATCTGATAGTTGGGTTGAAAGGCAGTCAGAAGGGTGTTCGAGTTCCCTGTGATGAGCCTGTGTGTGGCTCGGCCCTCTGAACATCTTGCTGAGCTGTGGACAGTGGTAGTGCCTTTTGCCGAGTAGAATCAAACCCTGTTCCCTGCTCTTTGTGCACAAAAGGCAACCACAGGGCCTCTCTCTGGGGGGGCTTCTGAGTCTTCTGACCTCCATGTCTGGCTCGGGACCAGAGGCAACGTGGTGCAGTTTAGAAAACACGGGTCTTAGCGTCGAACAGGCCCCGGTCAGCATCCCAGCTTCCCCTCCAACAGCCATCTGAATCAACAGACCTTGATTCAGTCACTCGGCCTGGCCAGGCCTTGGTTCCCTTAGCTTTAGAGGGAACACAGGGTCCACCATGGGACGAGGCCAGGAGAGCCGTTTAGCCTGGGCCCAGAGTTCCCAGGAGGCCTCAGATCTGGACGTTCGAAGTGTCTCAGGCCGAGGCTGGGCTCGCCGTCATGGTGGGGGTTGGTGCAGATTGTGAATGTGGATGTGTTGAATGTGGTGTCAAGAGGTGCCTCGTGAGTGAGACCCCCTGGTCCCTGTCGGCTGAGGGCAAGGATCCAGTGTCCCCAGAGTGTGCACAGAGGGGCCAGGGAGGTATCTGGTGTGACCAGCTCAGAGGAGAGTGGCCTGAGCGTCCCTGACCCCACCCCACAGACTTCAACACTGACAACTTCATCTGCAAGGAGGACCTGGAGCTGACGCTGGCCCGGCTCACCAAGTCGGAGCTGGATGAGGACGAGGTGGTGCTCGTGTGCGACAAGGTCATTGAGGAGGCCGATCTGGACGGTGACGGCAAGCTGGGCTTCTCCGACTTCGAGGACATGATTGCCAAGGCCCCCGACTTCCTCAGGTGCCCTCCCAAGGGGCTGGCGTGGGCAGGGCAGGCCTGAATGGGGGCCGCAGCCAGGAGACCCCTTGGGGCTGAGGCACCGTCACTGTTCCCGAGAGCAGTGGTCCCGGCAGGCTCTGTGTGGGCCGGGAGGCAGGTCACGTTCCAGGCCGAGCTGCCCTCAGTGTGTGACTGGGAAGTCCTCTGTCCCCAGCAGGGCCAGTCTCTGGTGAGGGATAGAGACTGGGGGCCCTTTGGTTATGTCGGGGGTTGGATGCCCTGGGCACAGCTGGTCCTCCAGGCCTTCCTTCCCTCTGCACCCTCCTGGAGGAACTGTCCAGGGTTGGGTGCAGGGCCTGGTTGGCTTTCTGCTGAGGACCTTTACCCACCCAGTCCAGAGCCTCTCAGCCCCTCTTGCTCTTTCTCTTTCCAGCACTTTCCACGTCCGGATCTGAGGACAGTGCCGAGGTTACAGGGGCCAGAAGCCGACCACCCAGCTCTGCTGCCTACACGAGTGTGACCTCCAGGCTCCTCAGGAGAGGAGCTGTGGCCTCTGGGGTTTACACCCCCGCACATTTCCTTGGCCCTTTCAGCAAAAAATCCTTAACCAGGGAAGGGGGGATGTGAGGGGCAGGGCCTTTCCCAGTCCCCCTGTGGTCCCTCCACAGGTCTTCCTTTTATCCCCCCAACCTTCCCCACACCCTGGTCCTCTCCCCATCAGAAATGGCCCTACTGGGAGGGGAAGACAGAACCCCTAATAGGGCAGGGGTGCTGACTTGTCCAAGTGCTGGGCAGGCACCCTGGTTGCCCAGGGCAAAGTGAAAAAAAAAAGGACAAGGTTTAACGAGCTATGCAATCTTTCTCCAAAACCCACAGCTGGGCTACACCCGACCCCGCCTGTTCCTTCTCCCCTGACCCTTCCCAATGTGAAGCTGTGTGAACAGTGGGTCCAAGGGCTCTGTCCCTGTCTCTGTCCAGGACCTGAACACCACCCCATCTGCCTTCCCCAGTGATGTGGAATCCTCACTGGTGTGTGCTGTCCACAGATTTGTGAACTCCTCGTACAGTAAAACACTTTCATGTCCCCGTGTTCTCTGTGTCTGCCAAGGTTAGGAAATATTCACTGGTGCCTTTTCTCCTTGAAATTCCACCATTAGCAATTCACGTGGCTAAGCCTTGCCTTCCCACTTTAGGCACCAACTTTTATTTCAGTGCTTAGGTCCTTGAGGGGAAGACACATCTGTGCCCCAAATCTTCGAGTGAGCACCGTGAAGAGATGTTGGGTGAAAAGCGTTTCCATTTCCCTCATAGTGATAGTCATTCCGGTGAGGATTTATGGAGTACGAACCATGTATCAGGTACAGGGTGACCAGATCACATAGGGCTGGCCAGCAAGCGCCCACTGGCTGGCTCCCCAAACGGCCCAGCAGCGCCCAGGCTGACCCAGGCGGCCAGCCAGGCTTGGGCCTGCCTTAGGAGGGGTGACCAACTGTGCAGCCTTGAGCAGGCTGCTCATTTACTCTCAGTCCCTACAACCCCCCTGGGAGGTAGGGACTCTTAGAGCCCCGTTTCTGAGAGCGAGACACTGCATAGCCAAGAGGCCACTGTGGGTAGGTTTTCCCCACAAATGTGAACTGAGCCAACTCTGCCCAGGGAGGGGGCCCGAGGTGGGCTGTGGTGTTCTCTCTGGGGAGGGTTAGTTGCCTGGGGGCAGTGGGCAGGGGGCAGCAGCCCAATTGCTCACCCTTATGGAGGTGGGGACACATGGGTATGAGGGGGAGTGGGATCCCAAGGGAAGGGGACAGAGGAGCCAGGCTGGCCTGAGGGAATGGCTGTAGTGAGAGGCCTGAGGGCCCCATGTGTAGAGCTGATGCCTGGGCAAGGCCTAAGGGCCACCAGGTGGGGTCTGGGTCTCATGGGAGGGGTCTGAGAGCCACCCCTAAAGGCCAAGGCTGGCTGGAGGCAGAGGGCAGATGAGGGTGACCTGGTCAGATAGGGACGCCAGCAAGTACCCACTGGCTGGCTCCAGAAACGGACCAGCAATGCCCAGGCTGACCGCCTGGCAGGTGGCTGCTCCTCTCCGGGTCTCCGTCTCCCCGATCTGCAGCAAAAAAGGTCAGACCGGGTCTGCCCAGCTTGCGTTATGAGGCTGGGATGAAGGCGGGGGCAGAGAGGGGCTGAGGGGATGGTCCCTGGGAGCCCAGGTGCCCCAGGGTCAGAACCATCACCTCCGAGGACGGGGCTTTGCTGCTACTTCCCTGGTTTCTTGCCCCAACCCCCCTGGGGCAGGAGCAGGGATGTGGCCCTGGGCCTTCCCTCCTTTCTGCTGATGGGGCCACAAGGAGGGGGACTGGTTGGTCTCAAGAGCAACTGAATGACATCACTAGGTCAATTAGGAAAATGCCAGCGCTGCCACAGGGCCTGCCCCACGCTCAGTAAGTGTTCAGTGGTGGGAGGTCAGCACGGTCAATCCGTCCAGGCCCAGCCTGCTCATCTTGGAAATGCGGGTGACCTTTGGCCAGTCCCCACTCCTCTCGGGCCTTGATTTCCTCTGGATGGGTGGGAGGCACTGGGGAAGCAGGGCGCAGCCCTGAGCTGCAGGCAGCTGGAAGGTCCCCTCCCATCCTGTCCCCTAGGCTGTCTCGGAGCCTTGTTCCAGAGCAGGCTGGTTCGATCTGAGGGTGCAAGAGGTACCTTCAAGCAAGCTGAGAGCTTCCCAGTAAGCCCTGGCATAGCCCAGATACCGGGAAACCCCCTGGTGAGCTTCAGAAAGCCAAGCCTCCTCAGGATTTGTGCTTCTTGTCTGTGAAGAAGAGCCTCCGGAGCTTGTCAGGCTGCAAGGAGGGAGAAGATGCTAGAGCCTGGGTCCCTGGACAGGGAGGAGAGAGCCAGGCTCAGAGCATCCCTTGGCAGCAACTGGGGGCTGGGGCTCAAGGCTGGAGAAAGGCCAGGTTGGAATATTGATAGTTGTTCCACCACCCCTCTCAGTGCCAGAAATTCCACTCCAGTCCTCTGGTTTGGATGAAGGATTCGCCCTCTCTGGCTAAGGAGGCTAAGGGAAAGTGGAGAAGAAAGGCCAAGTCCCCCCTTCCCTCACTGGGTCCCCTGGGGTCCCCAACCCCAGTGCTGTCTGCCCCAGCCGTGCCCTAGGTAGAATGGGGGTGGGGATGTACATGGCGCCACCGGGGACCGGAAGGACTTTGCAGCTAGAGGAAGAGCAGACATGGGTTGTGGCTTCTGTGGTTCTTAGAAGGGCTGTCTGCAGGCAGGATCTGTGGTCCCGGGCGTCAGGACCTCAGAGGCAGCCTTGCACCAGGCGAGCTCCCTGTCCTGGGGTGCGTGGGCACAGCCCTTCCCTGCGGGAGGAGCTGGCAGAGCTTCTGGTGAAGGCCTTTCAGCTGGGAGCTCGGGGTTTTGCTGTTCAAGCGGAAGAGGAGGTCTGCACGTGCCCGAGGCCTGAGGCTGTGCCCTCGGGGAGTGGGCTCTCCCAGCTCATCGGCTCCAGGTGTAGGCAAATACGCTGGGGCTGAGGGTCCAGGAGGGTTCCTCTGCCTCTCTGGGAATCCTGACCACCTCCCTCTGCCCTCCTGATCCCTGCTTCCCCTTTTCTCCTTTCTTATCAGAAATCCCCAGGAATAACAGCTGCTCACTGACAGCCATCTCTGTGTCCTGAGCACATAAGGATGTCTAGCTTCACCTCCTGGGCAGCCACCCCTGGACACATCCATAGGACCAGCCCATTTTACAGATGAGGAAATGGAGATCCTGGGTAGACGCTAAATAAGAATACAGGATGCCCGCTTAAATTTGAACTTCAGATAAATGAGGAATAATTGCACTATTGGGGACATAGTTATGCTTAAAAATATTACTCATTGTTTATCTGAAATTCAAATTAACTGGGTGTCTTGTATTTTATCTTGCTAAATCTGGCAATCTTAGTTGTGGGGGAAACTATCTTGCCCAAAGCCACGTGGCTAGGGAGTGGCTGAGCCATGAAAAGGGCCAAGGCAAGTCAGACCTGGAGCCAGGGCCCTTGTCCACCTCTCTGAGGCTCTGAGACGCTTGCAGTGGCCAAGAGGGAGGGACAGGAGTCCTAGTCTGCCACAGAGAAAGACATCAGAAGGGCCTGGAAGCCTCCATCTTACATCCAAACCTAACATCTGCCTCTCCCACCATCTCTAAGCAGAAGTTAGGGCTGAAAAGTTCTGGGCAGTGGCAGTGACCTGACCTGCCCATGCCTGAGGGCCACAGGTCCCTCGTATCACCCCACCCATGGAGCCCCCCTTATGTGTCCGTCCAGTCTCCTTGCTCCTGGCTGCCGGGATTGTTCATAGGTGTTCCTGGGCTCTGGGAGCTCTGGGGCCCCCAACATCCTCTCATAGCCACAGTCTGTGGACCCTGAAAGCTTGCTATATGTGGGACTTGCTCCAGGCTAGGGGGGCCTGGCTGGGCCACCCCAGCAGACTGTGATCTGCTCGTAGGTACTGCTGCCTTCTTGGTCTGGCACATCCCTGGCCTCCTCTAGGAGGCCTTCTGCCCAGATGAGCTCATAGATGTCTGCAGAACGGCTCAGTTTTGGAGACCCCTGACTCCAGGTAGCAGCTGAGGATCCTAGAGCCTCAGAACTGGGGGGCAGGAGAAGGCCCCAAGAAGTGGGAGACACTCTAGGGCCGTGGTCTGGGCTCACCCCAGAGAGGGCAGGTCCCGGGCCATCAGGCTTGTTCTGGCTTCCATCTGAGAGTCTCCTCAGGGCCTCCTTGCCTGGGGAGAAGGCCTGGCTGCTGGCTGGGACTGGCCCCTGCCTGCCAGACACATCTGTGCCCCGGCCTAGCCGTGCCTGGTTCATCCTTCTCAGGTCTGCATAGATGATGTTGTGGGGGCCTCCAAAAGACTCGTCCAGAAGGGAAGCACTCCTCTCCGGGAGGGGAGGCACCTTGACGGGGGCCTGGGGAGAGAACGACAGAACCTCTTAGAGGTTAGCCTGTCACTAAGTTGCCTTCTGGTAAACTGCAGGTTTCTCAGAGAAGCTGAGGCCCCTTGTCTTGGGCTCAGTTTACCTGACGGTTACGTGCAGGGGTTGGTTGACATTCGGGGTCCCTGCCAGCTTCATGCTCTAGGACTCTGAGTATGGTCCTTATGTTGGCATTCAAGGCCAGGGGTCACGAAATCTACCTCCCACCCAAGATCATCCTGCCCTGCTCCTCTCCCCCCAAGAGTGGTGGTCCCTCAGAGCCCCCTGAGCCCACCCACTCACTGCTCCCTTCCCCTTCAGAATGGTCCGCCCCCAAGTCCATCAATTGTGTATTTATTCAACAAATATTTAGTAAGCACTGTGTAGACACCGTCCTAGGTGCCAAGGGCTCAGTGATGAGCAAGACCACCTCTTGGGAGTTTACATTCAAACCTGGAGATGGGCAACATACTGCTCTGTTGTATAGTTTAATGTGGTTGATGTAATATATGATACAATAATATATCACAAGATAATATACTGTCAGCTCACGATCAGTACTATGAAGAAGAACAAAGCAGAGTAATGGGATAGGGAGAAAGGCTGGTAGGAGAGGGGATATTTTCTATAGTTTAGGTGGTCCTCTCTGAGGAAATGACATTTAAGCAGAGAATGGAATGCAGTGAGAGTAGAAGCCATGCAGATGTCTGGTGGGAAGAGCATTCCAGGCAGTGGGTACAGCAAGAGCAAGGGCCCTGAGGTGGGAACGAGGTTGATGTGTTCCAGGGAGATCCAAAGGCCAATGAGGTTAGAGAAAAGTAAAGAAGGGGGACAGGTAGCAGGGCACCTGGTGAGGCTCTTGTGGACCCTGGTGAAGATTTCAGATTTTATTTTAAACATGAGGAGAAGCCCTCGCTGTGATCTGATATATATTAAGAAAAATCTCTGTGAGTCCTTCCTGTGAGTTGCTGTGGAGGAAAATAAAGTATTGACTCACAGGCATCCCACTCTACAGTTTACAAAGGGATTTTTCTGACATTTCATATCCATTCCCTCATTCAAGCCTCACAGGAACCTCAAGATTGGTAAACTGAGGCTCAGAGAGGTTATGTGACTTGTCCAAAGTCACTCAGCTAGAAAGGCCAAGCCAAGGTTTGAACCAAATCCACCGGCCAGAGGCAGGCCACAGCATGGGTGAACCACTGGGTAATTCCAAGCTGGGCTGCTCCTCTCTGGGCCTGGCACTCACCCTCTGCAACCTGAGGGGATGGCCAGTGTGGCCTCTCTGGGCCTGATGGTGGACGTGGCACCCACATTCCTGGTCTAGCAACCCTGACTCTGGGTAGCCCAGAATCCTCCTCACCTCCATGCTTTCTTCCTTGGGGAGGTTCCAGGGACTTGCATCCAGGCTCTTCTTTTTGTAGAGGAAGGAGACCTGGGGCTTTGGAGAGGGGCGGGAGCTGGCAGCCTTGTCTGGGACCACCGTGGGGGACACTGCAGCAGGCGGGTTTTCCAGGCCCAGATTGGTCTGATGGAGGCCCAGGGTGATGGCGTCATATAGATCACTGTTCTCTAGCTGGAGGTGGTGGGGACACAGCAGGTGTGTGGTCATACACCCCTGGCCAGCCTCTAGCCTCCTGCCAGAGACTGCTGGCCAGAGATTGAAACATTCCCACCAGGTCCCTGACCTCAGGTAGAATGCTTCCTCCATCTCCCCTTCTCAAATAGGGATCATGACCCTGCACTGAGTGCCCCTGGGTGGCAGGAAATAGGGCAGGCAAGGAAAGACATGTGGTCAAGTGGTGGACACCCCTGGCCCGGGCACCCTGCCCCACCCCACGCCCCCCGGGGAAGAGAGGTACCTACCCGGGGGCAGGCAGCAGCCAGGGTCTCCCCGAAGGGCTCAAACTGCACCTCCTGGTAATGGCGCACGAGCTCAGCCAGGGTGCCATGGCTCTGGGTGCCCCCTGAGATGAGGTAGCGCCGGTTTTGGAGCTGGTTGATGACAAAATGCCGGCAGCAGTCACTGCCCCTGCAACACAAGCACTTGTGGCCTGGGGCTGCTGACAAGTGGCAGCCCTGCCTTGGCCCAGGGCCGGAGCTGACCCGGGGCCATGCTGCCCCCTTGGGCCTTGACGTGCTCCTCTATAAAGTGGAAGTTGACATCCAGCAAACACAGCCTTGCAGGTGATAGGGAGCGGTTTTTCAACGCGCACCCTACCCCCACCCCCGCACGTCAGTCAGGGAGGAAAGGGCCAGGGCCGGGGTTAAGGGGGAGTGAGGCACTCAGCTTGGAGCATGGATGCAAATTTAAAGGGATGCCACAAAGTTCAGTAATCAAGATAACTAATAAAGCAATATTTTAGAAAATCAAAATTAATACCAAAATATCCATGATGAGCGAAATATCTAAGGCTTAAAAGATGAGGTCCGAGCCCACACTTGCACAACTCAGCCTTACTCATCTCACCCAAATCCCACCCAGGCCGAAAAGATGGAGTTCCGGCTCCCATCTCCACTCCAGCCTGTAAAGTCCCACCCTCTTCATTTTCCTTTTTTATGGAAGAGTAACGTAAACACAGTGAAGTGCACACGTCCTAAGTGTGCAGCTCGATGAACTTCCACATATGAACATTCCCAGGTAACCACCGCTTAGAGCAGAACAAAACATTTTCCGGCTCCCCAGAAGACTCCCTCGTGGCCCCTTCCAGTCAAACGTAGCCACCACTCTGACCCCCATCACCATAGATCGGTTTTGCTTGTTATGGAATTTCACCTAAATGGAATCATACAGTATTTCTCCTTTGTGTCTGGCTTCTTTCACGCAACATTCTATCTTTGAGATTGATTCATGTCCATGTAGAATTAGCTTCCTTTTTTCCCCCCATTGATAGGTAGTATTCCATTTAATTAAATCCACAATTTATCCATTCTGCTGATGGACATTTAGATTATTGCCACATCTGGGCAATGATAAATAAAGCTGCTCTGGACATTCTCGTACATGGCTTTTGCTGAATATATGTATTCATTGCTATTGAGAATATCCCAGGAAGGAGAACTGGGTGAGGGATACATGTATGTTTAGCTTTAGTAGATTATGTCGAATTGTTTTCTAAAATCATTGCCAAGTATGAGAGTTACAGCTGCTCTGCCTCTTCACCAACTATTAGGTGGCCTCTGTCTTTCCACTGTAGCCATTCATTGTGGTTTTAGTTTCTATTTCCCGGATTGCTAACGCTGCTGAACACCAGCTCACTGTCCTTTTGGACCCTCTTTTAGGAAGTGCCTTTATTTTGCCTGTGTCATCTTTGTCTTGCTGATTTGCAGGAGTTCTTCATATAGTCTGGACATGAGTCTTTTATCAGGTGTATGTATTACAATACAAAACCTCTCCCGCACTGCGGCTTGCCCTTTTATTCACTGAATGGTATCTTCTGATTCACAAAAGTTCTTAATTTTAAAGAAATCCAATTTGTTAACCTTCTTTTTTATGGTCAGTACTCTTGTGTCTCGTTTAAGAAATCTTTGGCTGTCTCAAAGTCATGAAGAATATTTCCTATGTTTTCTTTTCCTATGTTTTCTTTTGCTTTTCTCACTTGGGTCTGTGAACCATCTAGAATTAATTTTTATGTATGGTGTGAGGTGGGGGTCATTTTTTTCCATTTGGATATCCAATTGCTCCTGTACCACTTATTGAAAAAACCAGCCTCCCCATACTCCTCCCCCCGCCGCGACCCCCGCCCTCGCCCCCGCTGAATTGCAGTGGCGCCTCTGTTGCAAATCAGGTAACCAAATGTGGGGGCCTGTTTCTGGATTCCACTGGGCTATTTGTATATCTTTGTGCAGCCCCACTTTGATCTCTTTAATAAGCTGGCACTCCACCTAAGATCATGTTTGAAAAAAAAAGCCCTGATGCTGAAAAGACATTTGAAAACTGCTGAGTTTGTATATTTCAAAGTGCTGAGGACCATACCTGGCACATAGAATAACAATAACTATTTTAATAATGACTAACATTTATTTATTTACTATGTTCCGGACACTGCACCAAGCACTTTTAAAGGTATAAACTCATCAAACCCATTCAACAATCCTATGCAATATACCCATTTTACAGATGAGGAAATGTAGGTGCGGCGAGGCAAAGTGACAAGCTCAAGATCAGAATTAGAACTGGGGCAATCTGAACAGATGATAATTTTGAATCTGAATCTGAGGCCCTTGAGATTTGCCCTGGAGCCCCAGCCTCCCTCCCTCCCTAACTAGGGGTGGGGGAGGGAACTTCTTCCTTTTTCTGCCTCCCCCCACCCAACCTACAGGCTCTGACGTCGCCACCTCTGACTTCATCCTGGCCATCTTGTCTCCTCTTCTCCATGCCCACTGCCTTACCCTAGCCCAAGCTTCCTCATCTAGCCCAGACCTCACCCCTCAGTGGTCCCCACTGCCCCCACACCTCCAGCACCTGTCTTGAGTCCTCCTTCCATAGGCTGCCTGAAGTATCCTTGCAAAACCTAAGTCTGACCAGATGACCCTTCATTGTCTACAGACATAGCCAGACATCCAAGGCCGTCCTGAGCTGCCCCTGGCCTTCCTCTCCAGGCATTGTTCCACTGGAACCATGTGTCCTTCTGCACCTGGCAACTTGTGGTTCCCAACACCTTAATCTGCCCTGTCTCTGTTCTTTTGCATATGCAGTTCAATCTACTGGAAAGGCCTTCCTAAACCCCAATCACACCTCTTTTTCTGCCCAGCAAGTTGCTGTTCTTCCTTCTATCCTGTACTCAAAATCCACCTCTGTGAAGCCTTCCCCAGCCTCCCATCAGGAGGAGGTTCTCCCCTGCCCCCCACCAACTCACCCCCTTAAAGGTGGGTGCTTCATCCTAGTGTATGGCTGCTGCTGGTTAGAAAATGTCTGATGGACACGGACGGATGACTGAGGGAGTGAGGGAGTCAGGGCCCAGGGAAAGCCCAGCAGTGTGGGCTGGTGGAGATTCCAAGCTTATCTGCAAGTCTGGCTTGTGGAGCCAGAGCCCGCCTGCCCTTTGCAGAGGGCTTCCTTTCTTACCTGTAGGACAAGATGTAGCCGGTGGCCCGGTCGCTGAGGCGGATGAGGAAGGAGCCAAGAGCTTTGTCCCTGAGCAGCTGCTCTGTCTGCCTGGGCAGAGGACATGCCATTAGCTGGGGCTGGGTCCCCACAACAGCAGGAGCAGCCTGACTTAGACCAGCCTCAGAGTCCCTGCCAGCCATGCCCCAGACCCAGTGCACCGATCTCCAACCCTTTATAGAGGACTCCCTCAGACTTTCGTCTGGTTCTGTGGAAGACTCAGTCTGGGGCTGGCTGGGTTGGAAGCCCGAGGTCACATACACACCCCGCCCCCCCACTACTGCCTCGCCATCAGGCACAGCAGCCACTGACCCTCCCCACCTGAATGTCCCTGCAGCAAGAAGGAATCCATAGAGCTTGAGATTTTTAGGTTTGTGGGATCCTTGCCTCAGGACTGCTGTGTACAGTTGTGCAGGATATGTACTACACAGTAGTTTCTGCAGGGAGAAGGCGTTGGTATGTCTGGAGCCTGACCACAATGGCAACTCATAGGTTCTCATCCCCTTCCCTGGCATGTCCCCTTCAGCCTCAGGCAGCTACGGATAGTTCTAAATGATGCCATGGATTTTGGAGGCGTGGTGGAAATTCCAGCTTTCTTCTGATTTGGCAGTACATAGACCAGATATTTCCTCACCCACTTATTCACCAAATACTTGCTGAGTGCCTGCTCTATGCGGGACCAGCTACAAATTTTGCAGGGGTCAGTACTACATGAAAACCTGGAGCCCCTTACTCAAAAAGTAAGAATTTCAACAGAGCAGAGGGCCCTGTGTTACAGTACACGTCAACGCCCGTGAATCTGCCTGCTTCAATGCCAGGTGCTGGCCAGGAGGACCTAATGAGTGGCTGCATTTGTCATTCCTTCAGCTAGTGCTTTGGCAGCTTGGAGATCCAGCCCAATCAGAAAGCCAGCCTCCACATCTTGGCCCGTATTCCTAGAGTAACTGTATATCCAGGTTCGCCTGGGAGAGTCCCCACTTAGAACAGTTCTCCTAGTTAAGTCCTCTTACTAACAGTGCTCTGGTTTGGATGATGAATGAAACAGTCCCCCTAGTAATTCATCGGGTTATCCGGAGCTGTTCTGAATGCATCCTTCTCCAGCCCGCTCCTCTCTGTTTCTCTGGCTGCCTGACAGCCCCAGCCATCCCAGCCCTACACTCAGAGCCGGGGCCAGTGCCTTCGCCCACCTTGCCCACAGAAGCGGCTGTCAGAGAACTCGGCATTCCTCAGTCTGTTCCCCCACCCACTGCTTCCTGGGGTCCCCGCCTAGCCCAGGGAAAGGGGCTAGCCCCTCGGCCCTGGGGGGCTAGGGGCCACGCTGGGCACATGGACAGGAGCAGCCTTACTTGCGGGTGATGAATCCGTGAAACCAGGGGGGCAGGGCTCCATTCTGCAAAATGAGGGGGGCCTGCGTCTCCGTGAACCACATCAGGGCCAGCTCCTGCAGCTTAGCCAGGGCCTGGCTGTCCCCGGCCCCCTCAGGCTCCCTGACCAGGCTGAACTGCCTCAGGTGGCCCTCCATTCTAGCGAGCACTGATGTGGAAGCAGAGCCCCGACCACCCGTACGCCTCTATATCTGTGGGCACCCCGGCTCATTTGCCTGAGTCCATGCCCTCTCCAACCACCCGCGGCACACAGGAGCCCTATTGTCACCTCTGACAATATGCGGCTGTTTCTCCTCTCTGATGCTCTGAGGCGGGGCACCTTGGCTGTCTGGGGACATTGGGGGAGGGTCACATTAGCAGTCAGAGAGGGGCAGGAGAGGGATCCTTGACTTCCTGGCTAACAGATGAGCTGCCCCACTGGGTTTGGCCCCTTCGCCCAACCTCCGGTCTTTGTCTCAGCTAAAGAGCAGACTCTGGCTAAAGTCCAAGCACTGCCACTGTTAGCAAAGTGGTGAATTTAAATTCTACTTATCCTTCCTTCATGGCGGCCACTTGTATCTTGGTGAAGTTCCGTGCTGATTAATTCCTCTTTCCACTCAAGATTTATTGTCTACTGTGTGCCACGTACATCTGGGCCCTGGGAAAAAAGCAGCAACCAAAACGGCATTTTGCCTCATGGCACATATGTTCTAGTGGAAGGAGACAGATAATAGACAAATACATATATAGAATATGGGGTCAAGTGTAATGAGCACTCCAAGGAAAAGGGAGTGGAAGAAGAGAGCACGGATTGTGTTATTTAGATAGGGGGTCAGGTAGGGAGTCAGGGTTGGGGGAAGCCTTGCTCAGGAGGTGCCACTGGAACAGTGAAAGAGAATGCCAGGCAGGTACCTGGGGGAAGAGATGCTGCTCCCAGCAGAGAGAAGAGCAAGTACAAAGACTATGAGGTGGGACTCTGCTGGAGATCCTGAAAAGCAACCCAGAAGCTCATGTGGCTGGAGGAAGAGCCCTCTTCCTCTGGAGTAGATGGGTCCCCTAGAAGGGCTGCCATAAGGCTTTTGAGAGGAAGCACTGCACCAGTGAGGGCCCAGGATATTTGTTCACGCAAACATCCCTGAATCTCTAATGTGTTCCCGAGTTTCACAGCAGAAATCCAGGCTCGGTTGACAGTGAGGCAGGGGATGTTGCAAACAGTCAACCCCAAGGATCTGGGTTAGAATTCCGCTTCCATCACACTGACACAGGCCTCAAGGCGGTTTCTAAGTGGTTGCAGATAGCTCAATTTCTTCATCTGTAGAATGGGAATAATTTTTAAAAAGCTACTTTCTAGACTCTAGGGTCATTGTGACAAGTAAACGAGACAGCATAATGGTTAAGAATGAGGGAACATATATATAAATTCCAAAACAGGCAGAACTGACCAATACCAATAGCAGTTAGGACAGTGTTTACCTTGGGGAGTGTATGACGACCAGGAAAGGGTGAGGAGCTGCTAGGTGCTGATCATGTTCTATTTCCTGATCTGGGTGGTGTGTTGATGAGTGTGTTCACTTTGTGAAAATTCAATGAGCTCTGTGCTCATGATCTATGCATTTTTCTATGTACATGTTCTACTTCAACAAAACAGCTCATTTGTAAAAAATGAGGACGCTACAGACATATTTCTTTGGTTCCAGTTCCAGCTCACCAGCTATGGGACCTTGAGCAAATGGCTTAATTTTTCTGGTCTTCAGTGTCATCATCTTTGAAACAGGGAGGAAGAACACGATCTGTTGTTTGGAAGGTAAAATGCGTTAAGTCTTCAGAACAGAGTTTGGAACGTAAGCTATCAGCATTAGCTATTACTTATGATGATGATGATGATGATGTAATGACTCTGAAATACAGTGGGTCCTCCCCTATTGGTAACTATTTTTTTTATTACTATTATTATTATAATTTCATCATGGTCATTCTCAAATCAAAATCAAAATACCAATGGCAAATGTGTGATACATATGATTTAGAGGAAAGGTCAGGGCATGAGGCATACCTGCAACCTCAACCTGGACAGCTCATTCCCTGTCTTTGAGACTCATTTTCCACCTCTGTAAAAAGGATTGCAGGGCATCCACTTGCCTCACCTGTCGATGGAGTGAAATACTACAGGACAGGCCCACGGGCACATAGCAAGTGTTCCCGAGGGTCAGCTACCGGGAACATCACTTTTATAAAAATTTCCAGCCTTGACAGAGAGGAATCAACTCCAGCCAGGGGACACCGAGAAGGATTCACATACTTGCGAAATGGTCTTCCTGTCACAGATGTAAGCCAGGGATATACTGGGGTCATAATGGAAATCCCAGGGCCAAACTAGAAAGGACTGGAATTTCCTAATATGGGGTGGGGGAGGCGTAGGAGTGGATTACATCTTTATCTTCCCCAATCTCTAACTGAAATTCAGCATTTCCTTCCATGGCGAGTGCAGAGAACAAATCTTATTAGTGTTCGTAACACCTGTGACTTTGTCACCAAAGGAAATCACAGATATTTTCATATCACATTACAGCTGCTGCAGACATCCTGAGATACTGATTTTGCTCATTACCCCAAAATTATAATAATTAGACCCAAAGCTGGATCCTGATATTTAACATGCTAATCAAGAAGCACATCGTATTACTACGTCACAGATATTTAGATAACCTTATTTCAATATGATTGATTTCCACAGTAATTCTATGTACTTTATTTCGTGCATTTAAAAATATTATTCTGAGAAAAAGTTCATGAGCCTTACCAGATACCAAAGAGGTCCATGGCCCAAAAAAGGCCAAGGAAGCTGGGGTCTGACCGAGAGTTGGTTTGCTGCCAACATGAGGTCGTGGAGGTATCCAAATGCAAAGAAATGTGTTTCTACAATTTTCCATGAGGTGTTCTCTCTCCACCTCCTTTTTAGGTGGGGCACTTTTATGAGCAGAACCTGGCCATTTGCATAAGAAGACAAAGGTTTTGTGTACTGGAAGGGGGAGCCCAGGATGGCTGCAGGACAGATGTGAAGATTCCAAGGTCAGGCAAATAAAGGGGAGTCTATATTTATACTCAGAGGAAATGGGGGTGAGAAGGGGTTGAAGTCAGCTTTGCAGGCATCAAGAGAACTCTGTGAAAGACTGGGGATGGGTTTTCTCTGACAGTGTTCCACATCCCACTGTTCAGTTCATCACCTGTGCTCAACTACTAAGGGCTGGGTCTTGACACAGAGAGAGGACCCTGGAGCAGCCCCGTCCTCCTTCTCCAACCCTGGGTGCCCAGAGGTGTCCAGAGAGGAACTAAGAGGTTTCAGGCTCTGCAGTCAGACTAAGCGACTTAAGAATACTGGCTCCCCCTTTGCCAGCTTTGTGAGTTTGGAGGAGGTACTTCACTTTGCTGTGTCTCAATTTCTCATCTGTAAAAATGAAAGGGAGAAAAAGTGTGCACCTGGTAGGGTTTGGGGATCCAGTGGGCTGATCCGATGCAAGGGAGCGGTGGGGAGGCATGGTGCACATGCAATAAACATCAGCCCCAGCTCCAAGTCAATCCCCCTGCTGGGAAGTCCCCAGAATTCTAAGTCTCTGTCTGTCTCATCGAAATTTCCTTGTCCTAGGTTCTCCATCAAGGTCATGCTTCTCCTGTAGGACCAATAGATGGTAATGGATTATCCATTAAATTACTCTCTCCCGAGGATGCTCAGTCTGGCATACCTTCTCAGGAGGAGAGCACTCAGATTTCTCCAGAAAGATGCTCAGGGTCAGTGTCTTTCCAGCTGTTTTGATGGAAACCCACTGAGTATGGCCAGAACCCCAGCACTAACGCTGCCGTTCCTTCTTTCTTGAGCCTGTGCAGTGGGAACATAGTACACGGCCAAGTGCTGCTGGCAGCCAGCCTCCTGGGTAGAATGCCAAAGTGGGCTTTTCAGTAAATTCTAGTCATATGTTCATTTTAGTTTATGAACACTGCATTTTCGTGCCCCTTAGTTAGTTATTCCATTAGAATTTGTTCCACAATAGTAGTGAGTGGAGAATGAATGATCTTATTTCTTTTTTCTCAGATTGTCTGCCTTATTCTCCACTGTATTCTGTCCCTAGAATAGTGCTTGGCACAGTTAGATGCTCAATAGGTATATTTTATTTTATTTTATTTTTTTGATGTGGACCATTTTTTGTTAGTCTTTATTGAATTTGTTACAATATTGCTTCTGTTTTATGTTTTGGTTTTTTGGTCGTGAGGCATGGGGGATCTTAGATCCCCGACCAGGGATCGAACTGGTACCCTGCACTGGAAGGTGGAGTTCTAATCACTGGACCACCAGGGAAGTCCTGGTATATTTTAAATTGTCATTCAAATTCGTGATACATCCACATGGTTTTTAAAAATAAAAAGTGTAAAAAAGGTATAAGTAAAAATGTTCTCCTTCTAGGCATTAACCCCCATCTACCCAGTTCCATCTCTTTCCCACAAGGAACCGCTGTTATTCATTTCTTGAATGTTCTTCCTGGGTTTCTTTATGCATATTCAAGTAAATATGTATATTCTTATTTTCCTCCCTTTGTTATATAAGGGTAGAATCCTATGCAGTGTTCTGCACCTTGCTTTGTAAAACTATTTAGTAATATGTCTTAGAGTTCCTTTCATAAGAGTACATAGAGGGATGTCGTTCTTTTTGTTACAGCTGCATGGCTGCACCATAATCTTTGTAACCAGTCCCCTACTGACGAGCATTTGGGTTGTTTCCAGTGTTTTTATATTTCCAACAATGCAGCAGCGAATGACCTTATACAGATTTGATTAAACATAAGAGTGAGTACATCCATGGAACACATTCCCAGAAGAGAGATTGCTCAGTCAAAAGGGTATTTGCATTTGTCATTTTGATAGATGTTGCCAAATTGCCTTCTTTAGGGGTTGTAGTCATTTATGCTTAGGAAATATTGAATGAACGAATAGACGAATAAATAATATATCCAAGCTCAGACATTTGGGGGCCCCCAGCTTGCAAGAAAAACTGGGAGGGGGCTGATGCTGACTCAGAGAGGTCACCAATTTTACTGTGATTCTTTCGGCCCTTTGATGTCACTGAGCAAGCTCACCTTTTCACCTATAGATCATGGCTGTTGGGGTAGGAAGGCAGTACCCAGAGATGCTCCCTAC